CCCTATAGGGAAAACACCATTTTCAAGTGATCCCATCATGAAAAATGGACAAAAAATCTAAAAAATATTTTGTCTCTGGATTTCGATGCAGAATGGTGGGGAATCGATGCAGAAATCGTTTAAAACAGTCCGCTTTAGAGTCGGATCAGAATTGGGGAAGATATAGACATCGCAGTGGGCCCTATAGGGAAAACCCAGAATTCGTTAAAAATATATTAAATCTGAACAAACCTGAAAATTGTAATAATTTAAGGCCCAACTTTACCTAACTTAAAGAGCAAATCAAATATTTTACCCAAACTGCCAATTATGATTCAAGTTTAACCCTTCTTTTAAATGAAAAATCAATTTTCTTATCAAATTTAAATCTCTTTCAGAACCTTGGCTTCTTCAGGGTCCTTGAAATAATTTAGTAACGAATTCGGAGAGCATTGAAGACGAAAACAATTGCATTCCTGCTATAGATTATAATATGTTAGCCATCCCGCTTCCTCTGTCTAGCCGTCCCGCTCATTCATATTCCGGTGGCCTTACTCACTTTTCCTTTATGGCGAAATGAGTTCAATGACACAAAAATAATACAGAATAACAATAAGATATAGTATCTTTGGCTCTTTGTTCGCCTTGGCTGGCAAACACGCCCAGTCTACGCCGGACTCCTTTGCGGCGAGGGGCTGCAAAGGGACGACGATGCCAGAGCGAGAGAGATGGGGCTATCGCTCAGCCATTATTTGCATCTTTCACTTTTCAACTCTTTTGGGGCCTCGTCCTGAATGTGGGGCAGTTTTGGCCTCTCGCTCGCACGCTCTCGCTCTCTCACGCTTCCTGTCGCCCTCTCGCTCGCTAGTTGACCGCATAAAATCGATAGAAGGCCTGGTTCTTCCGCCGCCCCTGCCACCCACATTGTTCGCAATAGCCCGAACCAAGTTCAGAGCCCAAAAACTAATGCCATTTTATTGTTCTGCTGGAGACAGACAACCAGCCAGCCATCCAAACCGTACTAACCATCCGACCCGGCGGATCAAGAGCGACCCGGGCGACCGACTTTCACTTTCGGCCAGAATAGAATAGAGGAGGACCCAACAATCAAGGCGAGTGAATGACTGACTGACTGACTGAATGAATGAATGCTATACTCATCAACACGTTCACAATTTCAATGGCCAGAACTTCGCGCTTATCATCGTCATGCAATCAGGATACACACACACATAGACAGTCAGCAACACACACAAGTACACATACCATAACAGATTCATTTGTTCTTTGTCTCCCTGTGGCAGAATTTCAAAAGCTAGACACAGCAGAGCAACCTGTTGCCAAATACAAATACACACACACATATCGCTCATACACGCTCTCGACTGAAACTGAACTTCGCCATGGAATGCAATTTTCAACAACGTCATCAGCATCACCACATCAGCCATAGCCACTATGTACCACATCATCATCATCTTCTGTAGCAGCAAGTGGAGAAACAACAACAGCCACAACGCATATAATACATTCAACAAACAATTGAAATTTCGTATACAATTGCGAATTGAATGAGGAAATGAATGTGTAAAATGAATAAGTCTGAATAGCCTGTCTGTGTCTGTGTGCCGCCCTCTCTGTCGCACTCACTAGCCCTGTCCCTCTCCGGCTATATCAGTCTGCGTGTGGGACCGTGTATAGATATCTGGGCGTATGCCTGTGTGCAGGGTTGGGGTTCGTCTACAAGTGTCGAGACGGGTCGTATACGTAATTTTTTCACTGGTTTTTGTTCTCGGCCCGGTTCTCGGTGAGTGTTTTCAGATTTTTTCAACGCTTTCTTTTTCGGGCCCTGTTAAACGGATAAACTCGTAAAACAGTTGCCGGCAAAGTTGCAAGAGTATTTAGGGAGCAATCGTGGTATGAGTTTAGAGCCAACACAGGAGGCTGAAAGGTAGGAAAACAGAGCAAAAGTTAGTTGGAATGCATATAGGAAGTCCAAATGGAAAGGTCTAAGGTTTAGCTAACAAATATTAATGGATCATATCAGGAAAAAGATTGTATCTGCCTTTAATGAATCTAGTGGACATCCGGGCGTATGAGTAATATTTTTATTTTACATTAGAAGATATTGTTAGATATGGTTAACACTATTATCCTTCAATTAAACTGAACCCCATATCTTTTATGTTTCATTGTAATTAAAACTTATAATTATTTCCCAAATAAAATGCATTACCCTGTTCGAATATTTCCAAAGTCAAGAGCGAGACCATTGTTAATGGGTTTATTCAGATTGGCTCAACTTGTTTGCTTGCCAATTCTGTCTCTTATTGTGGCTGGGCTGCTCCTCTTGTTGCCACTTTGCCATTGTCCGCTCCGTAGTTGTTGGTGCGTTTTTATTTCCTTTATTATGAACGAATGTTTGTTTGTGTAATGCCCTCCCGCCCATTGTTGGGTGTATGGTATGTGAGCGTTTGTATTTTTCTGCTATATTCCTCAGCCGGTGTGGTGGTTTATGTAGCTATGTGTGTATGTGTGAGAGTATTTTTATTTTATTTTTATTTTTTTGTGTGTGAACAATTAAAACTCTTTACAATGACCTTGACTTTGTTTTTTGTACGGCTATGCGAGTGTTTGTGAGTGAGCTTCCTTTTCATTCACACGCGCCCAGCACGCTCAAACGTCAAACATAAAACACAAACAACCGGCAGCACCAGCACCAGAAATACATAGTACAGCGGCAACAAAGCCGTCTGAGTGTCTACTCGTCTCTGATTCTCATTCCGCATCCGAATCCGAATCCGAATCCGAGTCTGGGCCTGAGTCTGAGTCTGGGCATGGTCTGGTTCAGTTTTGGTTCGGTATTTGGTTTTTGGTTTGTTTTTCCCATTTCGCAATGAATGGCGAATGCTTTCTGAAGAGCAACAGTCTTCTCGTTAAAAGAAAGAATCAATGCAGGCCACCACAAATAAACAATAATAATACTTATGTACGTAGCAGCAACAAAAACATTTAGAACAAGTACATTGATAATGAAACAAGAATTGTTTACATATTTTTTTTTCTTCTTTTACTTTTGAATTTGGCATTACACAATAGAGGAGCCCCAGAATCAACATCAACATCAACAACGACTTTGACTTTTTCCCTTTCTTGGCCAATTTTTTGCGGTTAAGATTTGCGTTTTGTTTGGTTGTTGATTTTGTCGTTTTGTTGTAGGTCAGTTACTGGGGCAGGTTTTTGCATTGTTCCCCGGTCTTGCCTTTGTTGTTGCCTCCTTCTGTGTTTTCACTTCATTGTCAAATGATTTGCAATTGGCCATAAATTCATTAAGCGGGCGAGCCCACAAGCCGACTTTGTTTTCATTATACGTTTTTAATGGGTTAGTAGCTCGCTTCGAGCATTCCGATGACTTGCAGGAAATCCATAAAGTCTTCAAGAAACTGGAAGAGAGCAGGAGCTTTAATTTCAATGATTATGATATATTTAAATATTTCATCATTTTGTATATAAAAATTACAAATAGTTTTTGAAACAACTGCTTTGAAGGGACCTTGAAGGCCCTGGCTTTTAGGGTTTCTTTTTGGGATTAAAGAACAGGCTGTTAGTAATCCACTAACATTACATGGCTATGAGTGTGTTAGCTAGTTGAGAACTGGAATCCAATCACTTTGCGCTAATGAAAACCGAACAAAAAGATCCCTGCGTTACTCATGGGCGGGTTAAAAAATAAATTTCGGCTCGAAAAATATGCATTAATCGGTAGGCAGGCTGGCTGGCTGGCAGGTAAATTAAATGGGGAGAATGGGGGGAACTTGCTGGCCTAAGACAATGTGGAGAACGCCAGGGTGCTCATGTGATAGATATGTGAGCGGATGGATGCCAAACCGCATCAAAGTTTTGCAGTTGCAGGGGGGGCCCAGATGCATGCCACCAGATACATTTGTAGTTGCCAACTGCAGTGCACTTGCTTAATAAATTTTTTCCAACTGCCGACTGCCTGCTGCCTGCACAATTATCCGTCAGCTACCTTGGCAAACCCATTAGGTTAATAAGAAGCGCACAGCACAAGACGCGAAGCGAATGACAAGAATATCTACATACTATACAGTACTGTAGTTAGTATGTATGGGAAAATGTATATATTTTTTTCCAGCAGAGGTACTACATAAAAAGAAGCCCCCGAAAAGGAGGAAAATAAGCAAAAACTATGCGCGTGAGACGCGATCTAACGGCGAAAATGCCGCAAACACTGCGGCCCTCAGCCCTGAGCCCCCGGACCTCGACCCCACCACTCCCTTCCCATGACTGACGACGGTTCGGGTCGGCCATATTTAAAGCTCAAAATTTATGCGGCTGTGGCAGAAATTCCTCCAGAGTTTCGGCGCCCGGGAAAAGTGGCAACAGCGCTTGCCATAAACATCACTGCCACACCGACGACATTTTTATGGCAGCAGCAGGCGCAACACGGATCGATAAAGTGCCGGAACAGTTAGGCTATATGCTCCGGCACTGCTCACTCCCGACGTTGATTGGCCCATACGGCTGCGCAAAATCCGGCCCAGCTATCGCTCACTCACACACTCAGGCCGGGCCTCACACAGATACACACAGACGCAGGGCTGGTGCGTTCATTTGATTTATTAGCCGAGCGGAGCGAGAGACCGGCACTAGGGTTGTCTCTGTTGCGCTGCCGAAAACTGGTTTGCGAATGCCGACGCACACGCAGATACAGATACACCGACACAGACGCAAATACTCGGCACACAGATACAGGGACACGGCCTCACGGATGCACGGAACCCGTTCCGCAGCCACCCTGTCTGGCGGCCGCTTCGCTTGCTCGAGCCGCCAGCGACGTTCCGTCTCTCATTCGACTCTCGCATTCGCCGCCGTCAGCACACGCGCACGCAACACGCAACTCGCAGGCAGCAGCAGCAGCAAGTAGCTAGTAGCAACTCGCACGGCAGCAGCAGCAACAGTCTCGTCTCGGTTTCGGTTCGCCTCGGCTCGTTCGTGCCTCGTCATCAGCCAACAAAAAAAAAACACAAAAATTAAAACAACCTAAGAGATATAGAAATAGTAGAGAAAAAGCAGCGTGGAACGCACCTCGAACAGGTTTCGCCGTCGACGGAGAAACAGAAAGGTGCTCAATTCCGCATAGTGTGGAGGTATTTTTTCGGTGTTCCCGCAACTATCCCGCAACGCTGATTTGGCCAACAACAAATATAAATTTCCAAAAAAAATATAAAATAAAATTCAAACACATTTGAAACTAAAGAAGGAATATTCGCGACGGGTTTTAACAACAATTTCAAGTGTTTTTTAATCGGCCCCCCTGTTTGTTAACAAACACAAAACGGCGAAACAAGTCAAATAGAGAGCCAAAATTTGTGACTGTGGAAAAAACGCAAACACGGCCCAAAACGCCATTCGAGCCATAATCCAAAGAAAGTGTCGTAGTCGGCTGCCAACACAATTTTTGATAAAACGAAATTACAAATTTGTTATGCAATTTTAACAAACTATATAGCCAAAATCAAAAGTCCCAAGTGCAACATGGTTTCCAACAAAATGTTCAAAACGTCAAACAACTAAACGTCACTAGATTAACGATTTAAACGTATCTGCAATCAGCCGGACTCGAGGCAACCAGCGGAAACCCACAATATCCACAAGCATTCTGCTGCCCCCGGCAAGACCAACTCTCAGTCCAGGACTCCACATCCAATACCAACTAACATGCTGACCATGGAATCGGACATGAAGGGCAGCCTGCTGCATGCCACGATGCCGCCGCACCACACCAGTGCCGCTCTCCACGGCCACGCCTCCTCGCCCTACTCGGCGCTGGCGCCGCTGATGAACCTGGGCCAGTCGCACCTGACCCACTCGCAGCTGAGCCACCACAACCACCATCACCACCACATGAGCGCCCACATCGCAGCCAGCCAGAGTCCCAATCCGCTCAGCTCGCTCCAGTCCTCGATGGCCAACACCTTGAACAGCGGCCAGGTGGGCCAGCAGCAGCAGCAGCAGAGCTCCCCGCTCCACAGCTCCAGCGAGCTGAGCCCCACCCAGAGCAGCATCGGCAGCCACCACATGACATCGCCCGTCAGCAACCACCAGCAGCAGATCCCCCAGCAGCAGCAGCATCCCACCCACCTGGCCGCCGGTTCCGCCCTGAGCAGCATGACCGGTGGAGGTGGTGGCGGCAGTAACAACAACAACAACAACGCCACGGCCAACAAGAACCAGCAGCACGCGGATCGAGTGAAGCGGCCGATGAATGCATTTATGGTGTGGTCGCGCGGCCAGCGCCGGAAGATGGCGTCGGACAACCCCAAGATGCACAACTCGGAGATCTCGAAGCGACTGGGAGCCCAGTGGAAGGATCTGTCGGAGGCGGAGAAGCGGCCCTTCATCGACGAAGCGAAGAGGCTGCGAGCTGTCCACATGAAGGAGCATCCCGACTACAAGTACCGGCCACGCCGCAAGACCAAAACCCTGACCAAGACCAAGGAGAAGTATCCGATGGGTGGCCTGATGCCCGGCCAGGCGGTGGGTGGCGGTGCACCAGGTGAGCCGGTGACGCCAACCCGGGTGCAGGGCCAGGGTCAGAACCAGTCGCTGAACGGCAGCGGAGGCGGAGCAGCAGCAGCAGCGGCGGCAGCAGCGGCAGCGGCCCAACAGGCGCGCCAGGATATGTACCAGATGAATGCCCCCAACGGCTATATGCCCAACGGCTACATGATGCACGCGGACCCGGCCGGATCGGCCTACCAGACCTCCTACATGGGCCAGCACTACGCGGCGCAGCGATACGACATGGGTCACATGTACAACAACGGGTATGCCATGTACGGAACCGTGTCCGGTGGACAGACCTCGCCGTACGGCAGCAGCCTGCAACAGCCGGGCTCGCCGTCTCCTTACGGAAGCAGCCTGCAACAGCCCGCCAGCCCGGCTCCCTATGGAGGGGGAGGGGGCGGCCAGGTGTCCTGCCAGAGCCATAGCCCCAGCGACTCTAGCATCAAGTCCGAACCCGTCTCGCCCAGCCCCAGTGCCATAGCGCTCAACAACAATAACAACAACAACAATCACATCATGAAGCGGGAATACGTGTCCGCCAGCTCGGCGGCAGCAGCCGCTGCAGCGGCAGCAGCAGGCGGTGGCGGAGAGCTGAATCATCTGATGAATATGTACCATCTGCCGGAGGAGCAGCGCCACCTGCTGCACTACCAAACAGATTCGCCGGATCTCCAGCAACAGCACCAGGCGATGCAGCAGCACCAGCAACACCAGCAGCAGCAACACCAACAGATCCCGCAGCAGCACCAACAGCTCCAGCAGCAGCACCCGGCGATGCAGAACCAGCAGCACCATTTGCAGCACCAGCAGTCGCTAAGGACGATGGCACCACTGGCCCACATGTGAGAAATGGCCAGCGCCTATGGAGCAGCCGCCACTGTGAGCGTCTCGCCGCCGCCGCTCCCGCTGCCACTGCCGCCGTACATGCCGACGGTGGCGCAACAACAGCACCAGCAGCAGCAGCAGCAGATTAACGGGCGACCCAGTCCGACGGCATCCGGATCTGGTTCGTCCGGAGGCCGCTCTTCGGCGCACTCCAGTGGCCATACCGCCGCGCATTCACCCGCCTTGGCAGTCGCCTACCAGCTGAACCCCTCCGTTTCCGGCTCTAGCTCTGGCTCCGGTTCTGGTCCCGGTTCCGGGTCCGGTTCGGGTGCCACTGCTGCCGGATCCGGGGCGTCTGGATCGTCCTCCGCCAGCATGCTGGACATGCCGCAGCAGCAACACCTCGAGGAGCATCAGCTGCAGAACCATCAGCTCCACTACCAGCAGCAGCAGCATTATCAGCAGCAGCTCTACCATCACTATCATCCTGGCCACGAGGCAGCTGTGGTTGCCGGCGCTGGTCTGTTGGATATATCCACATTGTAAATTATTGAAAATATTAACTAAAGCCCTAGGATACGCACACCCACACACCTACCACATACACAAAACACACACACACACACACACATACACAGAGAAAGACAGGATAACAGGAGGAGACAATTTTAGCATTAGTTTTTAAGGAGAATTAATTCGAAATTGCAGAGTAGCATATAAATAATTGCCTAGAGTTAATGATTAGTAATTTAGAAATAAAGCATACGCACTGTTGTACCACAATAGTAAGATGACAACTCACTGCATTCCATTCAGTTGTGTTTCGATTTGGTTTTCCGCTTTCTAGCTACGACAATTGTGTGATACAAATAAATTGTTGCGAATTACTAGGCCAACAACAAATCGTTTAGTTTAGCGAGACTTTCTCAAGCGTTTCATTTAGACTAACTTTGCTGTACAAAAAAAGACCTTCTCCAAATATTAAATGTGCGATACGAGTAGCAGGAAGCCGAAACACCCCAGAACCAGAAGCAAACACACACAAGTTAAATAGGAGTAACAAATAATTGATTATTAAAAGCGCAACATGAAAATAATTCTGAAGAAAAACAAATGAAAAACAAAGAAAAATGTCAAAAACATTCTATTTTATAAATTCTCTTATGCATTAAGTAATTATAATTATTATCTATTATATAAACAATTTAATTATTAATTATGCTTAAAATACGAGACAAGACAAACATAATTAATTGTAATAAAGCGAAAACCACATTATTATTATTATTAAAACATAAATCGAATCAAGATCGCAAGAATCTACTGCATTAAAGCCACACAAATGAAAATGAAATGTTAGTAAACCTAAAGAAAATTTAGTAAAAAAGCAAACCAAGAGACGTGCAAACGTGAATGTGAAACATGGAGCAAGGTAAACAAAACAAACAAATCCAACAAAACATTGCCAAGCACCTGGAAATAATAAAACAAAAAACCAGAAAAAAACACACAAAAAAACAAATAAAAAAATTCTTTACAAAAAATTTAAATAATTTCCTTATTATTTTGAATTGGTGCAAATGCCGTCGGCAAAAATTGGGAAAAGGGGACAACTCCATATTGGAGGAGTAACGACCCTGTTTTAAAGTGAGATAGCCCTTTATAGGCTAGCTAGATAGTAAACTCCAAATTAGATTCCAAAAATGTCAACATTAAGTGTTGGTTGGATCCATTAGCCAAAGCCAGACAAATTAGAACAAAACGTGCTACAAAATTGGCATTATAAAATTATACCCATCGACCTGATACAACCGGAGCTTGACATCTCCTAATATAATAGTTTTGGGCTTCATGTCAGCATTTCAATATTTATTCAAGTGCATTTTGTAGATGATTAACTGCAATTTTCGTGACCGGAAACCAAAGCTTTGTAGCCGACACCGTAGAATCTAATGTCAGAGATCATGCATCGCTCCACAAGGCTAGCGCACGATTATTAGGATTTATATGTATATAGATATATAGGTATTCAGAGCCGCTCACCAGACCCAGATTGTCCAATCACTCGACCCCCAGTGAATGGGCCTACAAAACCCCATAACATCCACTTAATATGGCTAATTTATGCTGGCCAAACCATCACATCTGGCCCACGCGCTATGCCAACATTTCATAAAGCTCATAAAAAATTATGATATGTATTATTAATGAAAATTGCAAATTCAGAGCAGCAAGGCTCTGAATAAAAAAAAAAACAAACCCATCGACGGACAACGGCTTTGGCTACAAAACAATTTATTTATTATGTGCAAACATTATACACTGTTTACTACATTTTTTGTGTCATTCGAAAGCTGCTGCCGCTGCTGATTATTATAATTTCAGTAAATGCTTCAGCTTAAAATGAAAGCCGCTGCGGAATTTCAATTAAAATATTTCCCCTTTTCCCTCCATTTTGTTTCCTATTTTTTGCGACTTTGCAATCAATTAGCGCCAACGATTTTTAATTATAACATTTTACATCAAAATTATTTTCCGCTCCGACTGTTTGATCCCTGGCCCCCTGTTGATTAAAAAGGTTCGACCTTTTCTTTGGCCTGATAATGTCCATTTTATTTTTCCATGCCCGAAATAGTTCGCATACATAAAATATAAAAAACGAGCCTCAATTTGCATTTGTCGCAATTTTCATAATATCCATAGATTTTTTTTCGGGCCGGAGCTTATCTTTGATTTGGATGCCTGGTTAGGTGTGTTGAAATGCGAGATTGCCGAGTGGCATGTTCGAGATACATGCATAATTTTTTCGAGACAAATGCAAAACCAAAAATTTATTAATGCTATATGGGTGTCATTTGGGCTAAGCTGCAGCCGATAAAAATCTGTCTCGACTATGACTTCGTTTCACATCCAAATCATCGGATGGCCAGCTCACGTTCGATTTGGATTTAATTATAAATATATTTATTCTGGTTGTTCCTTTTAATTAGCTTAGAAATTGTTTTGGGTTCTATTCGGTATTTATTTTAATTTTATTTCTCTAACTAATTTTTTGTGGCGCTGCGGCGCTGTCATTTGTTGCAATCAGTGAGAAAATTAAACGAAATCCCGATGACAACATTTTTATCGCTGCCCGCTTGCCATTAAAATTGGGAGCTAATCACACGTTTAACAAGATTTGGTTTTGTTTGTGTTTATTTGGTGGTTTCTGAATTCGATCCAAGTTGTTGTTTTTTGTCATCAGTCTAGTGGGGACAGGTGCTTATTTTTTTTTTTTGTTTTATATATTTTTTAGCTGCAGCTGAGTCAGCAAACTGCCGATCGTGAGAGTTTTTCGATTCGGCGCTTTGTCTTGCCTTTTGATTTAGTTCATTAATTAGCTATAATAGTTTCGTTTTATATTTGGGCCCGGGTTGAACTTGAAATTCATTAGAAGTCGATGACAAACTCCAATGATTTACAATCCTCGGCATGATATGATTTCTTGGCCATAATACCGGAAAATTGATTAGCCGGCCGAGCTTGTTGAATTGATTTTGAACTTGATTTAATCAAATCCGACGTCCATATTGCCACAGAGTATTTCAGAAGTTTTTCTTGGGGGGATTTTCTAATCAGATACAAACCTATACACACGTACTTACAGGCTAACCCATCTCGATTTACTCTCTCTTTCTTCGGGAGTCTGCCTTCAACCCTTCAATTATGGAACAAAAGCCCGGCGAGAGTGAAACAGCGCACGGGGGATGCTCCACTGGCCCGAGGGAGACGGCTGCTTTGATGCAAAGATAGACAGATATAGATAGATAGATAGGTGGGTGGATAGACGTACTCGTGTATATATAGAGTTGAACAACTAATTAAACTTGAACAATGGCGAAAAGTTGGCAAACAAATGTCATTACTTCGACTGCCAGCGACGGGCGGACGTCTGACTCTCTGCCTCGGAAGTAACTAGTATATTTTGAGTGGTTTGTGTTTTCGATTTGGGTCGGTTGACACATTTTTGGAATGTAGGTTAGCCGAGTGAGACATGCAACGAAAACGAGTTGATTCATAAGCCCAAAGCTGTAACCAATTCGGAGTTGGGCCTGCTTTAAGTATTTTTCCCTTCGGATGGCTATACATTTCCGAGATGCGAGTACATCAACAAATCGGATTAGTTGACAAAAATCCAATTAGCTGTGGGGCCCCCCATTCGAACGGGTAACCGTTTCCATCTGGGAGCCCCATGAAAAGCAAGGCTAGCGAGTGATGGATGTGTGGCAGGCGTAAGAATTTATAGACCAGTGATTTGATCGATAGGCCCGTCCAGCGATGATTTACGAGGCAGGTAGGAGCGTTAGCGGAGGCGGTAGGCACAGGTAGGTGCCGAAAAGGTGCAGGGCTCATGCAAATTGTCAGACTGCATGGCGACCGGAGATCGCCGGAGCGAAGAGAGAGACCTCCGCCGAGTTAAGCCGGTGAGGTGCGCACCTGCACCGGAAAGCGGGAAAAACCCAGCCCAGACATCAGGTTGTCATACCTGAGCTGGCGGATAATGAACCTCTAAAATCCACGCCTCGCAAATCCGCAAGCGGATGCTCGAGCTGCCAGGATCTGCATCCCGTTTTTGGGCAATAAAGGGCTAAACAAACAGGCCCAGCACTGCGGCCAGGACAATGCGTCCCATAAGATCACAATGCACATTATCATAATCACCAATAAAACCGTAGTCTCAGACTAAGCCTGTTGCATGCAACATGGATTTGTGTCCCGGCTAAAGTTCAAGTTTATCTCCCTAATACTTCCTCCCTGTAGCCTCACAGTTCCCGGTATTCCACCTCCGCCTCCGACTCGGCCACCGTCCTCGCCCGCATTTTCGCTTAGTGTAATTCAATCACCGACCGCGTTCTTGAGGGCCTGCATAAAATGCGCAATCCGGAGCCCATGGGGCCATCGGCTAATCGCTATCTAATTATAATTTTGCATTTTTATCGCCCAGAGTCTGGGCAGCAGGGTGCTGGCTTTTCGGAGGCAGACCTCAGTGGGGGGAGGGGCCGGCAAGGCCGTTTCTGTTTCGGCTCCGGTTTGTTTCGCAATCAGGCGATTAGTCACGCCCTGATTTGTCATTGATACTCCGACAACTGCTGCTCGGTTGCTCAGTTTCGGTTTCGGTAAGTGTTATTTACTATGGATGGAACTGAGGCCCTGCAACTACGTAGACCATGCGGGCCTAGGGACTCTGAAAACGTGGTACGAACTAAGTATATGCAGATAACGTTGAAATAATATGATATGTGGTTTAAGATGTTCTCATCTTTCACTTTAAGTTTTTTGAAAAATGTCTTGTTTTAAGAGAGCAATTTATCCTTTCGGTATAAGGAAAACCCTGATTATTACCATTTAAAATTGGCCTAAGCCCTAGGGTTTCGGAAAAAAGCTTCTGCCATTTTTACATTGTCTCCTAACTTCTTGGAAGTATATTCTTAGAAAATATATAGAAAATAGAAAAAAAGCTTCCCATCAAATTATGTATTATTTTAAGATTTAATATTCATATTAAGGGCTTCCAGAGGAGCTGCTAGAGAAAGGAAGGCGACAACAACAACTGCACTTGTGTCACTTAATTAAGTCGACGTTTTATTGTCGTCATCGCAGCATCGTTGCTCAAGTTAATTACTCGGGGCGCGAGGCTGAGGTGCGGACTCCGGTTGAATCCCCTGGAAATCCCCACCTGGAGAAGCTACCCATCCCGGGCCCGGCACTACTTTTCAACTGGCTGGCAAGTGAGCACAACAATTCCCCACTCCCGGCCAGGATGCTGAGTCCTGGTCCTGCACTTTGGCGCATTTGTTGATTCGCGCACTTGAACAACAAGAGGGGAAGGGCGCTGCAGGATGGATGGTGGGCGGTTTGGGTGGCCCACTAACCAGCAGCAACAGCAGCAGTAGCAGCAGCAGCAGCAGCTCTTATCTTAATGAGGTTTTATGCATCTAATTAAATAAATTGCACTCTCTTCGTCCTCTCGGCGCCATGACAACTCCCGAGTCTTCAAAAATCTTTTAAATTCATTTTTTTCGCCAGGCAGCCTTAGTTGATGTTTTAAGGGGCGTGGCCGTCCAACAGAGGTGGCCCCCTTTGCCATGCAATTACCCATGGACCGGGTCGAAACACACCCAGAAAATGAAATTCAATTTTAATTACAATTTTTTCTCCCTCCCTGTGTTTTTGCCACTCAAATCGATTTTGCTAACCAATTTTTTCTACAATTTGTATGTGGTCGTCGTATGTGGTATATATTTTTTTTCTATATATAAAAACACATATAGATGCTTGTGTATATTTTGAATATATATTTTTAATCAACCGCGCCCAGACACAAACGCTTAACAACATTTTCAGTGGCTTTCAGTCCGTATGTCCGGCAGTTTGTTGAGCCACAAAGCAGCTACAGATTGTTTTTATATATGCTGCTACACACACTCCTGGTATGAACCGTATGGATTTATTTACTTGATGTAGCCAGCCCCCCCTCCGGCACTCGCTCCCGTAGTATCCAACG